CCCAATAACACTATGAAATGTGATTTAACAGCACCTCTGTTGCCGTAACATACATAGGGATGTATTACGTGTGGTGTACCAAAACGGTCAAATGGTCCAAAATGGATTTTTTCAGTGGTCATTAACCCAACGTTTTTCGCAATTTAATCGAGAAGTATATCTTGATCTTCCAGAGACGGTTTTGATTTGACAGCGCTGAATATTCAGCGAGCACGTGACCACGGTTTACCGGGCTACACCACCATCAGAAAGGACTTCTGTGAACTCGGCGAGATTAATAGTTTCCGGGACCTTTTCGACGACGGCGTCATGACACGACAAAACTTCAGGAATCTGAGAGATACATATGCGTAAGATTTTGTCATCACTTTAATCACATCTTGAGTGTCATGATCGAGGGTGTAAACTTTCGTCATTGACGAGATGATGATAGAAAAAAATATTACAAATTTCAATCTGTTAGACATTCGAAAAGTGGGTCCATGCATGGGGTGTGTGCGAACAAGACTCATAATTGACTTTTCACTTTAAGTATTTATTTGTGTAACGTGGAGCTTTTTTCCTCTCTGTCTCATTTATTAAGACCGATGACACCCAAAGTACCAGTTAATTTTGGAAACGCGCACAGCTGCATACATCTGGTATTCTTTTTCAAAATTTCATAGAGATCCTGTCACATTCCAAGATTGAAGGATAACAGATGGAATTTCATACCTTGATGCAGCGCATTTCATTGTTTGTTGCTTGTTTAACCTTCTGTGCCTCTTTTTTACCTTTTGATGATGTTCGTTCCCATAGTGACGTAAGGGACATAGATGCTTTCGTGGGCTTCGTCCTCGAGAAACCTCTCCCTAACGCCTTGGTCGGACCGACTCTAGCCTGCATCTTCGCCGATCAGTTCCGCCGACTGAAATTCGGCGACCGTTTCTTTTACCAGAGCTTGGGTCAGTTCACTCCAGGTATGGAAAGGGACCTTTGCCAGTAACTTCTTAAGACTTTATACTGTTTCATATCAGGTTTTAATAAAGGCATCCCAAAGGAACGGCACTCTTAAATCCTCCACCCAAAAGGTTCACCAAGCCTCTACCCTACTACTTTGACGATGTTCTCTTGTACTCCCTTCACCTTTTAGACCATTACGCTAGAAGGCACAGATCCTGGAGCTCCTGGAGGAAACATTTCTCCTCCCACAACTTTTAAAGGGCGTCGACCATGGGCTCTCCTTCACTCCCCGAAATGAAGCATCAAACAAATCAATGTCTTTGTCTATTACAGGGCTCCTTTATACCAGAAAGCTTTCTGATTTTATTTTTACAACCATCTACGGACTCAATTCAACGCCGGGGCCTTAACATTACACGCGTTCTGTTGACTGTTATTCACATGCAGCGCAAATACAAGAGATCGAAAAAGCCAGCATGGCCAGATTGCTTTGTGATAACGTCGAGGCAGTCGATGAAATCCAACCGTACATATTCATGAAGGCTAGAAATTTTGGGAACTTGGAGAGACGTCAACAGGGAAAAAGAGGGTAAGCAAAAGAAGAAAATTATTCGAAAAATATCGGGTAGGACACAATCTAAAGATTATGAAGCGGCTTAATTGAGAATGCATGTAGCAATGATATTCGTCCTGAACTACAAATGTGTGGAATTAGATGGGAATCAGAATTCATGGGGAAATGTCTAGAATGTTGGGGTATTTAAGAAACTCGCTAACATAGAAGCTATAGAAGTAATTAGTTTGTGGGATTGAAGCGCTGTCTGAACGATACGCCGCTTGCACTAAAAGGCCCATTTTCTGAATTCATCCCAAAATGTCAAAGTTCGACTCGATAGATCCAAAGCCTGATGCTTCTATTTTTTCCCGCTCTCTCTAGACCGTACACCTCCTTCTACGAGTACAGCAGGTCTGGTGCCTGGCCGCATAAACGAGAAACTGTACTGGAGGGATTGGATAACAGGAGAGTGTCCTGCACCGCGACCTCGGGTGAGATACCTGTGGTGGACCTCTCCAAGTTCGTTTAGACAACACGCCGGTCGAAGCACATATTATGCTTGAAAAGAATATCAAAGAATCGAAAGAAAGCGACTAGTTTAAGTCATATAAACTGAAGGGTGAAGGGTTTCAGGGTATGGTGCTTTTGCATTTATGTAGTTTTCAGGGAACAAACAGAACACTTATTGAATAACTTTAAATGGCTTCTAGATGGGAACCAACAATGTTGGGGGAGGTCAATGAAATCCCCTTCAAGAAATGGAATAAATTAGTTCTGACATCTTCAGTCAGGTAGATGCACGCACATTCAGTGCAATATTTGGTATTAGTATGATTTGTGCAGAATTGCCTGTTGTGTATTTGTAAACGCGCAGGTAACATGTTAAAGCAGCGTGTACGTGGGTAATTTCAAGGGTTTTCTAATAACATTAGTTTTACAGAATGGTGGAGTTTATTTTAATTTAATTTAGTCTGTACCTTTAAGTTTAGAAGCAAATTTGGTGTTGTTCTATTTACATTGTTGTTGCTCTGTTTTGCCCTACAACTTCGTTTATGGATAAATGCACATTTGATGTAATTGTTTGTTCACCAATTATTGAGTTACATTCATTGCACACAGTTTATCGATCTGATGTTCACACAGACATACACTGACTGTTGTGTTAGTTGGAGGTCATATTTTTGACGTTTATCGGAAACTAATAATGTTAATTGAGGTGAAGGTTTATTCAAAGATCGCACGACATATTTACCCATTTTTAGTTTTTTCGCAGCATTCTTTAAAGATAAGTCACTTTACAAAAGAGACCACAAGGAAAAATTACGTTTAATACAGAAGCAATAGAGATATTTCTGAAGGTTTTTATCTAGCGTATTGATAAAAATTTACATCCTTGCACATTTTATTCTTACTGTGACAGACTTAACCTTGTCTATAATATTCATACAGTAATGACAAGGTTTTCGTTAAAATGGTTACATAATTCCAATACAATCGTTTCCTTTCAATAAATATATGAACGAGCTCTCCTCTCAAGTTTCTGCAGATTTTTTAGACAGAGATCACAATTTATCTAAATGCTGTATTTTCGAAACGCCGGAAAATCTTAAGCTCTCTCCGCCCCCCGTCTCTTTCAAATCCCCCTTAAACCCCCACCCACTACTGCGGCTCATAAAGATCGCGCACTCTCTTCAAAATCATCTCTCTAAAATCTCTTATGTACTCTCTTAACTGTGACTCGCTCTGTTACATATATATTTTTATTAAACGGTTCAGTGCATCCACATTCTCTTGCATTCCCACGCTGTATTCAATAGATTCATCAAGGTCGACATACCATCTGTTGACTCAACCAAACTTTTTTCTTACTTGGTGAAAGCAATGTGTATTAGGTGTACAAAGAATGAAGATTTCACAAACCGCTGATCGATTCATCATTTCGGATTTTAAACTCTCTCCATGGCGTGTCTCTTTATTCAAGGTTCAATTTTCTTCTTAATTTTTAAATGAGTAAGAAAACTGCGACATTGTGGGAGTGGTGGCGTTGACTACGCGAGATGGAAGGACGGAGAGATTTTTATAGAGATAGGCCGCATATGAAGTACTTGGCTAAGACTTGAAATTACACACGACTCTATGGGAACTGGCTTCGGTCTCTACCATAACTTCGGACACGGCCTAATTTAGTCTTGGAGAAAGTGTGCAATCTGTGAGCCGCGCCGTTAAAAGAATGGTAAGGATTTCAGAGAGATGCTCCAGTACTGGCGGACTATGGAGGTTTTGCGTGGAAGCCATCTTGCATTGCAGTTCTTTTGTGTCACGGGGAAGCCTCCTTTGTGAATACCCTCTGGAACATAAGTACTGGCCCGTAAGATGGCAGCATGCATGCATATCTTCTATTTACTGTATTTGAGCTGGCCAATAACCAGGCTTGGAACAGAATCACTCATCGGACTACAAAACAAAAGCTTGTACATTAAAACCCGCCCACTGATGCGGGATGTTCATCACAAGGTTGCACTTTTATTCGACAAACATTATGGCTGCCTGGTGCGAGTTATAAGATCCAAACGCGACTTTTTGGAGCAAAAAATGATTGTTTTCGGGGAGTAAAATAATGAACTTTTACTATACCTTTTGCGGTCTTTCAGGGGTATAAGTAAAGCACGACGGGGGGGGGTTCCCTCGGGCCAGACGGAAGTGAAATACTGGCAGTCCTAACTTGGTTGTGGAACTAATAAGAAGCCATTGTAAGCATACCTCTTGCCGGCGATTACGTCAACAAGGCAGCCTATTCAGACACTCATGAAGGTAGACTTCACAAAATACCATTGAATTAAGTGTCTGATGATTGGGACAAGAAGCCTTCAAGAAGCAAGTAATCTAACATCCGGAACAAGATATGGGACGGAGGAGAGAACCCATCCCCTCCTTTGTGTCGGCCACTGTTTGACCGGAATCTCAAGAGTTCTTTTCAGACTTCGGGGAGGGGGACTGTCTGTAGAGTTTTGACTCTAGGTATACCAGGCAAGATATGGGACAGAGGGGTACCCCCCCTTACCTATCCAATCCCTACATTTGAAGCAAGATATGGGATGGAGAGAACACCCCCGCCTTTGTGTTGGTCATTGTTTGATCGGAATCTCAGGAATTCTTTACAGACTTCTGAGGGGATGTGTTAGGTAACAATAGTCTAAAGGCAGGGGGGGGTTCTCTCCGTCCCATATTTTGCTTCAAATGAAATGACTCTAGGAAACGTATTATGTATAGAATAATTTGAACAGTAAACAAGAGAGGATATTCGTTCCACTGTAATTATTGTGAACATAACCTTACCCGGGGCACAAGGAAACCGACATCATCGTCCTAGCGGAGAAAGGCCAGCGTATGGCAGGCACCAAATCAGACAAAATAATTCACTAGGTATGCAACGGTTGATTGTAGTGTACCAATTGTGGGCATCTAAACTACGAAATTATATAAACACATGTAATAATGTGGCCCTTGGAAATTCTTTGAGTTCCTCATCTTCCATTGAGCCTTGAACCGGCCTGGTTCAAAAGCTGGTCAACACTTTCATAGCAATGTTTTCAATGTAATGCAGGCTCTGGGAGAGCTTTACGCTATGTCAAAGCCACACATTATCCACTCTTGTAATGACATCACCCTGCTCAGAAAAGTGTAAATTATTCTTAACAATTTACGGTAAACTACGCATTTTCAAAGAATGTAAAGTTAACTGTATATCTTTTTAGCGTGTACAGGTAAGTATACATTCTTTAAAAAAACAAACGATCAAATCGGTAGTTTGCCCATTGAACAGGTTAGCAATCAAACTGCCATTTCTTCAGAAAAAGATTACGGCTGAATGTTAAAGATGATTAACTGGGCATTCTTCCTCGAATAGGAATGACGCAACTTACTTTTTTTTTCTCTTTAACTCAGAACCCAGTCCTTAACAAAAGATTATTCCGACACTGTGTGACCACAACTCTTTCCAATCACATGCACTCAACAAGTGAGGCAGTATACGAGTTTTGCTTAGTATACAAGTTTACGCTGTATCGTAACTATGTGGCTAAAGTGACTCATGCACTAAACGGGAAGTGGATTTAGCGTGTAACTGGCTAGGTAAGTCAGATGAGACCTTGGATGGCAATGTTGTGTCCACAACCAATGCACTGGGGCCCAGGTCAGCACTTGGTCCCAGATGCTAGGCCAGATTGATGGGCCACTCCTTTTAGTTATACAAAACAGGCTAATTAATTCACAAGACAGGGACATGGAACCCCAATCAAGGCCAAGTATCCACAACTAGGACCAAATACGATCCCTGACCGCTTGTCAACCACTGGTAAACTGTTGCCCAGAGCCCATGATGTATTTTGTGCACAGGTTACCTGGGACATTGACCAGGAGCTGACAAAATGTCCAGATCAAACTTGGCTCAAAATCAACAGTTAGGACGCAAGCCCTTATTTTACGAGGAACACTTCTTGCTGGAACTGCCTTTCAGAAGAGCTCCTTGACGGGCCTGTCCTTGATGTCTCCAAGGAAGAGTGTACTGAAGATGTCGTCAAAGAACTCCTCCCTGTGCCAAGTAGCTCTCTCACAGTCTGGGAAGTAATTGCACTCCAGCAAGACTGGCTGGATGATTTTCTTCCCTACAACAAGACAAAAAAGTAACAATACATAAAACAAAATTACAGTCGGTGAAGTCACAAGTGCCAACAGTGTCAGTGAACAATGAGGACAGTATGTCTTTGTCACAGTTTGGGACTTGAGACTTCATGGTTTGTGATTGGCTGATTGAGACTTGATTGTGACCACTGGACGTAATGTCATTACTTTTGCTGTGTCCTTCCACTACTACTGTTATGGCCCCACACCATGTACAAATGGGCCATCTCTCGCAGAAGCTGTGACCCATCTTAGCATGATGTCCTGAAATACGGACAAAGGAAAAATTCTGTCTGGACCATGAACACAAGTTATTTCCCTTACACATGCCTTGCCCAAACTGCTGTTGCCCCGTTTTTATAGCCTGATATCCAGTGTGTCCATGGCACTTAACCATGGACAGACAAGTGATCCCTCTCAGCTGTGGCTTACCAGCACTGTCTGTGTCCCACTTCAGCATGATATCCAGAGCGTACATGGCCCTGGACCATGGACAATGGGTGATCCCTCTCGGAGGCGGTTTGGACACAGCTGCCTGGAAGAACTCTTGGATCATGTCGTGAATACTGGCCTCAACCTCATCCCACTCATAGCCGGGGTTTTGCTGATTGAAGTGACCAGGAAACTCATGCCACAGCATCTGAATAAAAAAAGTTAACAAAACAAGATGTGGAAAGCAAGCATTTTAAACAAAAAAAGTGAATGACATTTTCTTGAAAACTTTTATTGTTCACAGTGTGACAATACAATAATTTACTCTGACCTTTGACAGATCTGAAAACCCTAAATTTGTAAACTGGAGATAATTTTGAAGATGACGATGGTGCAGATTGCAGGTGTTGTTAATCCTCTGAACTGTTGTGGATATGGAAAGGCAAATTGAATTGGACATGTTTGAACAGGTTGATGATTGTAAGGCAATGTGAGGTAGGCAGTGGTGTTGCTGGGTAGTAGAGGTGATAGGGGACAGTGGTGGTGTTGTATGGTAATGGTGGTGTGGGGCAGTGGTGGCCACTGTGAAGTGACCGTGGTGTGATAATGGGCTGCGGTGGTGATTTTCGGGGTAATGCTTGTTATTTCTACTCCAAGATCTCATTACCTGATAAAAATTTTCCCCTGGCTCGTTTGCGGTATAGTTCATGACTGTGAAATGTTTGCTGTAGTCATCCAGGGTGTCTAACGAAAAAGGCCTGTGACATCCAAAGAATTCACAAGTTTTTGTTAAACAACAGCCCAAGATATCTCTGAGAGGGATAAAAGTGGTAGTAAAAAAAGCCTTAAGAACTTTAACAAAACTAAAATGTTAGAAACTGATAAAGTTTTACGGATTTCAATATACTTTCAGTTTCAAGGAAAACAGTTCCATTGTATTTCTGAAGTCTAAATGCTCTCACAATACGGGCGATTCACAAGAGTGTGCCACCAAGAGTTTGCAACACACTGGCCAATCATAACGTGCGAAATTTGTCGACCATTTCCAAACGTGCATTGGGTTGACAAATTTCGCGCATTGTGATTAGCCAATGCGTTGCAAACTCTTGGTGGCGCACTACTATGAAACGGCCATATTCTTTCAATTATTCACAGACTCACGTGTATTGCTAATGCATTTTGATTATATGATAGAGATTAATATCACAATTTGCAATGCTGGATTTTGTCTGGGGAAAATAAATGTATTTTACAGCAAACCCTTCATCAGAAACTTTCCAATGGTTTCACTTACTTGTTTGCGAATCGAAGCCAGAATATCTTGTATGCATAAACTTTGAGAGGCTTAACTGATGTGAAAAGCACTATGTAACGAACATCAAACTTGACTGGACCAATGCCATCGCGGACAAAGAGAACAGGATCAGTCAGGTACTCACAAGCAACCTGTATCAAAGACAGGCATTATCTTGGGCTACAATACCTACTTTTTCAGCCATTTTGGTGTGGCTGCCTACAAAAAAGAAAATGCAATAATGAGCTAATCTGAATAAAAACTTTAAGGACTTATTCTCTAACAAACTGACTGAATGACCCACCAACTAACCAACCACAACACTAACCCTTGAACTCACCCTGACTGACTAGCCTGACTAGTTAGTTGGTGGGTGAGCTGGTCAGTCAGTCAGTTGACTGGCTGACTGATAAATGAACGCTGAATTGATCAAACAATTGAGAGTCCAGTCGACTATCAGGTTTACCTTGGGCACATCGGTTTCTGTCTGTCTGATGATTTGGTTGAGATTGCTGGCCACCGTGGTATCCAGACCTCGCGCAAGATTGAAAGGCTTGCAAATCCATATATTGGGTGCACCTCTGAAACCAATTAAAAAACCAAACTTTAAATTTCAGCAGTAAAATACAATTGATGACTCTCACAGACCCTTAGTGGCACAGTTGGAATCAAAGACATCAAAGTTTCCATTGTTGACCAGCACTACGCACTGAAATCGGAGGATCAAAGCATGCTTCTCCGGTGGGGTGCATTTAAAACTCGTGCAGGAGTAATCTAAAAGAGACGGGCTCTTTTGGAATATCACATTTCTTGGGGGAAGACGCTCAAAATCTCTCAGTTGTCCAATACCCAATTTTTTGGAAGCCTGAGTTAAATCTGACATAGGGTTTGCTTGTTCACACTAAGTTCTGTCATTTATAGTTCATGTCCGCGTGAGTGTCAACCTGAGTGTACTGCCACTTGGAAAGTTACCATTTTTGGCTGACCTGTCCCAGAAAAATGGGCATTTTTGTGAGAACACTTTGTAAATTTTTACTCAGTTGTAGTTGAAATGACTGTAAGATATTACTGGAAAAAAAAGCTCGCAAGGCTTCAATTAAAAAGGAGAATAAATTCTGCCTCCATTCTTTTCGGAAGTTGCACTTTAAGTTACACTGACCTCAGAAAATAACAGTAATATAAACACCAATGCTTGAAAAGAGCCTACAGGATGGTATGACTTGTGGCATGTCAGCATCTAGTGGAACCAAGCAGAGCTTAGAGAACAGCCACAACTTTGGAAATGATATGATGTTATCTTTACTGAGAAAAATGATACAACTTTGAAAAGTTGAGGAAAAGCTTTGAGTTTCCTGTGACGTTTCTTTTTGGTGTATTTAACAAGGAACAACTTGTAAATGGAAAGGTTTGAAATTCACAGTTTGACTTGCTTTTTCTCTTGCTGCTGGAAGTAGGAGACAAACTGGGGCAAGTTGTTCCACAGGTCAAAGGTCACTGGCAGCCATTTTGGGCCACAGCTTGCCCCTAATTGGTCTTTCCCTGCTGCCCTTCTGGAAGTGAGCGCCAACATGTCCTTGGTGACAATCAGCTTCTCTCCTGGGAACTGACTGACGTACTGGTGTGTATCATTGGACAGCTTTCTGTCACCATATTTATCACAGGGAAAAAAAAAAAATTAATTTCAAAACATCCTTCACCAATACTTCCAAATACATGTAACTTTATAAAACTGTACTTCCAGTGTTTTCTTCCATTCAATTAAACCTCACAGATATTTTTTTATCACGTGTGAAGGTATTATTTTAGCCCCAAACTTTGACTTTCAGAAACATTCCAAGTTATAGGGGCCAACTTTTGGTATAAACCTAAATTGCCACAAATACCAATTTTTGTACAAATATTTCTCACATCATATTTTTTTCCAACCCTCCGAGGTGCACCTATGGAGTAATATTTGCTGCCACAACAGGCTGGGCACAATGGCTAAATTCACTTTCAACACACAGTCCACCTCAGACTCCCCTGACTTTTTTGTGCATGACCAAAACCAGTGGGGATTTGCATGTTGAAATGTCAGCCGGAGGTTTGCTTGATATTTCAAAGCATTAGCCATTCCTGCGCACACAGACAACAAGATTGGTTGAAACTTGGCAAAGAGTAGTTAAAATCAAACACGAAGTTACGGGAGAATTTATAGAAGTGAGAACAGAATAGCCCAGGTCTTTACTGCACACAGGGCTTCGTGGAACTCCAAGATTTCTATACGACAAGAAAGCTGTTGATTTCCTGCAAAGTGGGCATTTCCGAGAATTCAGCAAGATTCCAAGTGAAAAAACCAAGGAACATAGATAGAACTATTGGAAATTCCTCTTCACAGCGTCCAAACCTGAAATCTCTGAAAGTCTCTTTTACAAAGAGGATATCCGCTTCCTCCTCTTTGTCGACAAACTCAAAGCGCGGATGATGCAGGTTGGCCAGGGTCTGCGGGTGGTCGCTGTATACCCTGAGCTGGCCACTAATGTCGCGCAAGACAGGATTTGCCCCAACTTCTGGTGAAATGCAATTACAGACACGGGTCATGTAGTCCAGGTCCGGCTCAGGCTGAACCGTGTCGATGTGGGTCAGGTCGCAGGGTTGCCATGGCAACAGACGAATCTGTCGCATCAGTGAGTCCTGTGCTGGGAACGCATAGTCCACAGTGACATCATCTGGAGGGAGAATTTCCCATGGTCAATAAGCGTGGCTTTATTTCAGTCTTAGTTCCAAATACAAATGAAAGTTCTGCACGGTCTCTAAGGTTTCCCCTACGTGGAATCTTTTCTTTTATTCTAGAATATGAAAGTGAAAAGGGAACTTTGTGTTTCATACCTGGTTTTGCCCTTATTCTGACACATATATTCACATTGTACAGCCGAGAGTTTAAAAAATATCAGAACTTTCCTTAGGTGAGAATCGAGCCCATGATTTACTACTTTACTAGGGTAGATGNCACCGAGTTTGCTGGGACCGGGCAGCTGGCCAAGACAGTAGTGGGTACCTCAAGAAATCAGTAATAGTTTTGACTATGTTGTTGGTGAGTACGTACATGTACCCAACATGCTCCTAAGAAGTCATCATATATGTGTATTTACCTCCGTATTCCAGATCTCGGAGTGGGAAGAGAAGAGAGTAGGCAATCTGATGAGGAACGTAGAAGAAGGGTACCAGTCGACAGCTTGGAGTGTCATCATGTAGTATTTGGGAGCCAAACTCGTCCAGTATGTACCACACAGGCTGCCTGTCTTCAGCTATCAGGCCCTACAGAGAAAGGAAGAGTCTGGTATGCTCACGTTTCCAATCCCCAACTTTTGGCTTCTCTCACAATTTTTGTCCTGGAAAAGGACATGCTTGTGACATGTGGGAATTAGCAACCTTTTTCTTGGGGGGGAGATTACTTCAGCGTTTTTTCATTTTGTGAAGTATTGTGACTTTTAAATTGTTTTTAAATATTCAGCAATAAATGCAAGTGTAAAGTCAGTTCTTGACATATGGTGAAAAGGGAAAAACTCTTAAGAAAACCAGCGTATGAGGAGAAGAGTTATAAAATCTGTTATTAAAATCGGCTACAGCCGCCGTAAAATTTGAGATCCTCAGCCCGCTTTTCAGCTATTATTCTCGGCCCACCCTTGAGCGAACACGGTGAAAGAAAGCAGACCCTGGCTCTTGTACATATGGTAATTGGTCTTTGTGTGTAGTCCAGAAATGAAAAGACCGATTTGCATCATAATCACCAGCTTCACAAGAGTCCCACTTTGAAAAGAGGCAACGGGAATGTGGAAGGGTGAGTAGAGCCGCATGCCACCGAACAATCAGCCTTTTCACCGTGTAATTCAAAGCGTGCAGAGCACACAGGGCCACAAACTGCAAATTTGTGGTTTGGCAGGTGGCCTTCGTGGCTAAGTGAGGCTGGAATTCTTGGAGTTGGCTTTCGGGAAGAAATTTCTGTCGTCAAGGGGTTAACGAATACTCTGCTAAAAACCCCTCACAAGAAACTTCTTACACTTGGCCTAGTCTTGGGCATTTTTCTCACACCAACAACTGTCTACAGTGCCATCGTAGCCTACTGACTTACCTGGGCATTCACACTGTATGTGCGGCTGTATCTCCATGACTCAGCCAGTACCTTCTCAATGCACTCGTCTTGGTTCTGTCCGTCTGACTGAGCCAAGCCCATCAAGCTCATCATCCTGGGCAGGAGGCCTGGGACCGTCTGGAGCTGGATCCTAGCCTCGGTGAAACGGTATGTCCAGGCATGGTCTATGAGGTAGATGCTGAACAGAACAAGGAAAAGGTTAGAGGCATTTGTTTTTGTCTGAGTCGAGCAAGTTTAACCTTTGCTTGGAGAAGCTTCTGACATCTTAGGAAATGATTTCGCTCTGGGAAATTGGGAACATGTTTTTCCACAGGCCTACATGGGTAAACTTTAAGTCAGGTGTCATGGTTATGTTTAACTGTGGACTGGAACATTTTGCAGTGAGATTGAAACAAGGAAACCTCAACCTCTCAGACAACAGTAACTCTGGGCTTTATATGTTATACTGATCTAATACATGAAGAATTCATTTAATATTCAATCTAGCAGACATTCAATGTTAAAAGGTAATGTGTGTCATCTCAATAATTGTACATGTTATGTCAGATATGTAATGTGGGCATGACAACTTTAACAGAAAATACTAGGCTGCTGAAGCAGGAAATAGATCTTTAAATTTGTTTGAGAGAATCCAATCTCGGGACCATACAAATGTGAGTAAATTACCTGCAAAAAAATTCCCTTCTTTGTTGAAGTTTGAAGGAAGAATGTCTGAAATTCTGTTAAATACAACCACGACATTAAACTCTGTAAGAAGGTGATATGCTCGGAACCTCACCTTTGCTACACGCATAATGCAAGCTGAAGGCAGAGTCAGGCTGACTAATTTCATTCTGATTTTTGAACGATGTGGTCTCGATCAACCTTTCCACCCACCTGTCTCCGTCCATTGCGTCAACCCCTTCCTCGTGGCTAACCACCACTTTCAACTTTGATGGAGCATTTTCAGTCGGCGGCTTCTCCATCTCCCTGCCGTCTCCTCCCACTGTCTTTCCTTCCTCCGTCTTGGCATCCTCAATGTCGACATACGTCAGCATAAACTTCTGTCCTGCATCAAAATACTGGAATGAAAACAAATGTTAGAAACTTTTGTCATAGAAATGAAGAAGGCTGAGCTTTTTCTTTAGTGTTTACAAGATGTTCATATCCACTCCTTGTTTTGGGGCCAGGTAGATCTTAGTCTGTTTCACGCTTACACTGTTACGAGATGAAATTCCGATCAAATGTAATTTTAGACTTAATTCCCTCAAAAACCCTTCAGAGCCATGAATCAAAAACAGAAATGCAATATCCTTCAATTGACGGATGCAATCTGTGACACATAAATGGGTTTCTGGAAAGAGTTCCACACCTGGAAATCACCTGACACCTCTGTTGACGTTCAACATTCAATGTTGAACAAGTTCATATCCGTTCGACATTAAGGATGCACAGCCCTAGGAACGATGGAGTGCAAAAGAGACAAAAACAAACTCTGCCACTATGCACATCCCTCCACATATAGCTTATTTACATGCCACTTCAAAATGATGTATAACATGCACACACAACTCTTTCCCAATGAGGCACCCCAAGACATGGGCATTTTGGGGGTTAAACAAGCCCTCAAATGTACATGTGGGTGGTGCAGTTTTTTTCTCTTCTTCACTCCATTGTTTCAAGGGATGTGAATCCCGAGTGCCACTGCTAGCCAAAAGTAAAACTGTTATTATTCTACATTACATATTCAGACGGTTACATAATCAACACTGACTGTCCAACATCAAACGAGGAATAAATAACTAACTTCACACCACCCAAAACTTAACTGTAAATGTATCAAAGAGACTGAACTGGCAAACTGAGTTTTCAAAGTAAATAGGCCTGAGCCTACTTATTGTATTAAAAAAAAGAAGGGCACGGTAGGCACACAAAACATTTTCTTTGCCATGTTGACTTCAGTTCAGTTGGACTAACAGTAACAAACAGGCTCATCGGGGTGGCATCTGAACACTAAATTCTTTTCTCCATCACCATCCAATTAAACCAATACACACATCTCGTTCGCCTACACTACCCCACCCATATCCCACCCGTCCTTGCAAGGTCACTCTACGCGTTAAGACGCGACATGAGAAAAGGACTTGTTTCCGACACTTCCACCTGTCCACTACTTTCCGTTGCAGATTAATTACCTGGTTTTCAAGCTTGCTGTACACACTAGGCCAGAAACGTTCTGGTACTCCTGATATCTCCAGCTGACTCCTGTGAACCTCTATAAAGTTGCTAAAATTTGTCTTTTCCTGACCGTTTTCCATTGCGATATACACGTACGCTTGATCAACACATCACAATACACATGGTGTACATGTACACGGTGTTGGCACGTGTTAATCGCGATCTACTAAAATCTGGTCATGATTAACCCTTGAGGGCGCAATTCAGCTGGACCAAAATTAAACCACAGCTAGCCAGAGACAAGTATACGGCGACAGTCATGGCTCTGTGAAAACCCCGTTGCAATTAGTCCAATATTTCATAGTTATGGCTGACACTGACAGTTCAGGCCGTCCAGATGGAACAGATGAAGAAGATCAGGACGTACTGATTGGAGAGGAACCAGGGGCGAGGTTAGTTTTGTATTTAGTAAGAACCGCCACCATCATGACCACAAAACAACGTCAACGTTACTCATCATATTAAGCCTTATCCATGTTATCGCAAATACTGCATGGGTGATTTTGCACAATGGTCGACCTTTTTCCTTTCCCCAATGTCTGTTTCCATTGTGCAAAATCACCCGTGCAGTATTTGGCCTATGCTCATGGCGGCGAGTGTCACTGTCACTCAGTTTGTGAATGGTAGGCCTGAAATTAGTGTCACAAAATTAGCATTCTGAAATCATGTCAGAGAGTACTTTTTCAATTTTTTGTATAGTAGTGAAGATAAAGGACCTATGCCCCGATTGTATAGGTTTTATTTATTCTAACCTAACAAACTATTAATAAAACTGGGTTAAAAAAATGCTAAATTCTTACCACGTCTGTGCGCAATCCGTTAGTTGGCTTGTAGCATCCCTCAAGTGGTTTAACCATAAATTAATTTACATCACAAGCAGTCCATGGATGTCTTGTGGATACCATTGATACATAAAACACAAGATCCTATTGGCAATTTTTCTAAATTTGTGCAACTAAATGCATGTTAGGGTATTTCATTGGCCAATCCTGATGACACTTTAACAACACGACCATTGATCTTTGATTAATATATTTGTGATGTCATTAACTGTCCTTTCTGAGAAAGGCATAGCTCTGTTGCTGAGGGCGGTAAATCTTTTCCATTCTTTTGCAAGGATACTGTAAAACCTGTGACTCTACTAGCCCAGGTGGACTCCTAGCCCAGGTTGGACGACATCTTCAGAACATTATAACTACAGTGTAACATCCAGGATATAAAGGCATCCTTAGATAGCCACAGATTTTACAAGTTTTTTTCACATTTTTATCTGACAGAGGTAGCTGAAATCTCGGTCACTTGTTCCTTATGTACAGAATTATCAAATTGCGAGGTTTAAAATGAAATACCGATGTGTCGTTGGGCGATGTATTTATAGAAAATACATCACAACTCCACACTTCTGTTGTAGTCATCCTGCACAAACTGCACATGTGAAGACTTAACGGGCATGCACGCATGCCTGAAATGTATGGCAACTGATCGGAGTGATACTCTCCTATGTATGCATGCTATGGCTTGCACTGTTGCAGGTACTGTACTTTGATTCATCAATTTGTTTCTTGGCTGTCGTTCAGAAAGTTGTCTTCGGTCGTTTTGTGCTTTTGGAAGTGGGATTTACTTGATGAAAGATTCTTTTTGTTGAACATTTATTCTTTAGCAGGGTCTGAGAAACCAAAGTCTCCTCACAATGTTCGGCGACATTTCTTCATTGGCAAAAAACATTGACAAAATATTGGAAGGTCGTTATAATTAGACAGGACTCCAAAAATACTTCAAGTGAAAGTTTCAAACTGCTTGATGTGAGGCAAATTGAAGTAGGCCAACTTGAGGTTGAGGGTTCCTTCCCCCCCCCCCAAAAAAGTATGATTTAGGTGATTTATATAACTTGATACAGTCTACCTATGTATCTGCCTGCTGCTTAAAAACTCAAGTCGTCACTCGAGGCTATTCTTATAAAATAACTGGTTGTTTATAAATCCAAATGCACAGCTGAACAAACTATGAACATTTTAGAGGTAACCTATGGGGGTGTTGCTGGTCAGTCTGAAGCCCGGACACGACCCAAAAAATGGAACCGCAGTTTTAATATCAGCAGGCGGGTTTTAAGCAGGGTACCAGTCACAGCCTCCGTGCAGCAGGCGTGCAACAGACCTTCACTGGAAATCGCACACGTGTAGTCCGTGCACGCAGCTCCTGTTTGGGCCTGTCCTTTGCAACTCGAGAATGGATGAAATATGTCTACAACACTGAACACTCGTCATGTTGTTTCTGAGTATCTTTTCCCCGATTTTGCAGTCCATGGTTTGTTCTGAAATTCCTTAACCCCCCAGACGGATACATAAGAACATAAAGAACATTTAAATGTGACACTAGTTTCTTCGACAAGGTTTTCCCAGAACAAATTTGTACACAATTTTTGGTCGTATTATACAGAAGTCTTAGAAACTGGATGTCAGTCGTAATGTAATGAAGACAGGTGTCCAACCTGGGCTAAGCCTACACCAATTCCCACTGGTACTGCGCTGAGCAGACACGGCATGCATGGCAGATTGTCATTTAGTATCATTTATTTCCCGTCTTTATATAATATTGCTTCCGTTGACTCCTTTTTCAATCTCTAGCGTACATCCAATGCTGGCAACTGAGGATTCATACGAGGAATTGGATTATGACCTCAGCATCGAAGCACCAACCGAAGACCAGCGCCGGGAACGCCTCGCCAGCGGCACCATTGCCAGCATCGTGGAGGAGCACACGGGGTCCGGCTCGGTTGAAGAAGTGGCCACAGAAGCGACGGAGTTGGAGGTACATGTAGAATTCAATTTCACAGTACTGCAAAGCACTGAACTTTGCTAAGCAAAGGAAACACATCTGCTTAGCACGGACAGGTTTTACCATGTCATGCATTCTGTATCTCTTGTGACTGTTTCTTGGCAGACACCTTCGTAGCAAATGTGCTAAGCAGTATCTTCTGCTGAGTAGTGCTTGGAATATTTTGACTCTTGTCTGCATACAGAGGAAGAGATTAAGCAAGAATGTCCAAAGAATTAACTTAACATGCTTAGCATTCCTCAAAAGCAGTGTGCTAGATCGAGTGTCTTAATTCTTCTGTGTGAAAATTATCATTGCTACCATAAAAAGAACAGAGTCATCATTGTCTAGAACTTTGTGGAGTTAAAGGCCTTTCCAATTTACCATAAAGGTCATCTTGATGAATTGGACTCAAATTTACAAACAGGAGGTCAATTCAGTTTACAGTTTTTGTTCAATAATCACAGAATGATGTGGGCGGGAGAAGGGCAGAAGGCAATACGAGCAATCTACAGACAGCAGAAGATGCGACACAACACAGGACAGACACGGTGGCAGAACGGAAGGACGTGCCAAATGACACTAACGAGGAGGTGCGACAGACGAGAGAAGCTGAGCAGCGAGAAATCGCTGACGAAGGTATGTAAAAAAAATGCTGTGTCAAACCGTTTGCTATTGCTTTGCACGATTAGTGGATCTGAGGGATTGGTCAATTGGGTTGCGCAACTGGCCAATCATGCTGCCTGTCTTTCCCGTATTATGTGCTACAGATGCAACAAAAGTTTTCATGTAATTCCAGCAGATAATACAGTACAGAAAAGAATTTTAAAATATCCCAAACACTGACGATTTTAAGGCAGGCCTAGGCGGGCAAACCATTTTTAGACTGGCCAAACATTTAGACCTCTTCACTGCAACGGTCTTACTTGTACATGTAAATCAACTAATGGGAAACCTTGTTGGACTGGCCTATGCACAGAGACAGCTCAAAAGGCCAGTTCAGTTCAGTTCAATTTATTTCCACTTATATATGTCAAAACAGTGAATTCGTTAACACTTTCAAATGAAACTAGTAATAAGCGGAGGAGGTCTCCAAAAAGCAGGGCTTGTAAACCGGAGACCCTCTTGGAATACGGCCGTTTCACAATAGTGTGCCACCAAGAGTTTCCAACGCGTTGGCCAATCACAATGCGCAAAAGTCGTCGACCCAATGCATGTTTAGAAAGGGTCGACAAATTTTGAGCGTTGTGATTGGCCAGCGCGTTGCAAACTCTTGGTGGCGCCCTATTGTGAAACGGCCGTATTGTGTACATATAGATTGTACTAATTACATTTACATGTACATGATTGTTATGGCAAAGGACACAAGACAAACCTGTCTCTGTGATCCCGACAGATTTTTCCAAGTCACAACATGTAAGCATGCCCACGCAGATGCATCTTCGTTGAAGAAAAACTACTGGGCCCAAACTTGCATCCAACTTGTAAGATATTCTCTGAGCATGCTTGGAGTGTATTGAAAAGAACAACATTAAAAGCCTTGATTTCTGCCCTAAGTGAAACTGTCCTTGTGCATGATGTATTGAAAGGTTTTGGGGCTTCAATTGCGGGAGGGGAGGCTGGTTTATGGGGACTTACAATTGACATAGATTTTGGTAAATTTTCGGCACCAGATATCCACAGCAGTGTTTGGAGGGACCATAAGAAACATGTCTTCATCCTGAGTGAAGCGGGCAAGCCAATCTACTCACGGTAAATGAAGGGGATTTTTTCCAAAATCTTCGTTTTTGTTCCCAACTTGGGCATCGAGGCTCCCGTGTCATAAATTTTAGTCTAACTTGTAAACAAACTAACAGCAAACCCCATGGGACCAGCTAAGGTGCAGAGAGAGCTTGAAAGGCCAGTCACTGTGCCAGTCACCCGTCAGCTTCATGCCATTCCATTTTCAGTCAGAGAAGAATTATTAAAGTTGTCTAATGTGGGTCCAAAGTGTGGAGCACTGTCGGGAACTGTGCATAGTGACCGAGTGCAGCGCACCTTTTTTAAGAAATCAGTGGGTCTTAGATGCTACATGTAACCGTCAGAGGTGACCCAGCGAGAGTACAGTAGTTTGCCTTCTCCTAATGGAAATAAATCAATTTGTTATGAGACATTGGCCCCTTATGGCATTTTCTGTTGCATGGTTCAATTAGGTTTGTTCAAATGAGATGACGGCAACCAGAAATGGCTGGTATATTTTCAGTGTGTTGGGGCTTAGGATGATGAATATTTTCAGGTAGCAAGATATGTAGCTCCTAGAGGTCTGTATTTGATGCAGAATGGGTGGTGAGTGGCTGCGTGTTGCTAAAACTCCTGAAGTTGCACAAATTTTGGAGATGATGGCGCCATCTTCACTGGTCATCAAAGAGTTCGCCCCCCCATAATCCATGCAACAGAGGCCGTGTTGAATACATTTGTACAGTTCTTGCTTGTTTTCCTTATAGATACGGAAATGAGGACAAGTTGGTGTCACTGATGGGCGTCATGCAGGCGCTAGTTTCCTTTGTCCAAGATGGAAAAAATGTCCTCAGGTAAGATAGGGCACTCTGAAAATGCGGTTCCTTTTTGGAAAAAGGTGGCTAATGGAATTAGCAGGTAAAAAACAAAGCAACTGGCCCGAACAAGAAAATTGAAGCAAGCAGAAAAGATGAGGCACTTTTTTCTAATCCCAACAATTCCAACAATAAAGTTAACCACTTCCTGCCGGGTGGATTTTTCTTGAGCGGGATGAGGTGACGGGACCTTTTCAAGATTTTCTGTTTTCAAAATTCTTCAAAAATTCATGTGTTCATTTACTGAATGACCCATACGAACGACTGTCTCGTGGCTACTCTAATCTGACAAGTAACTTCATTGATGCCCAAGTATTCAGCCCAGGCCTACAGCCCTGTAAAAGAGAGCCCAGAATTGTGAGATGTTGCATAATTTCGTTTGTTCCGGTGAATGCCAGTAGCATCTTTTCATGCGCTCCTGGATTAGCATGCGGCGGCGCTGTATCACTCATCAGTGGGGCCCTGGAGCACTTTTGTCCGCGGTGCTAATCCGCGGGCGCGCTATGCCCAAAACAGTGGTATATTGTTTCAAAACAGTACCGGATAACCTTCGAAAAATGGAAGTTGAAAAATGATGGCAATTCCCAGCAGCAGGTCCTTTGTCCTGAGTACAGTCTTTTTTTACACAGACCAGCTCTTTTGTCCCAAACTGGGCACCCCGGCTCTGCGTATAAACACACGGTGCCGGAAACCGGGCACCCCAGCGGGAAGTGGTTAATAAAAGAAGCTAGAGCCCGGCCAATGTTTCCTGATGCCCTTGAAAGCAGAGGAATCTACCTTGAGGCTCTTGCATGCATTGGATTTTGCAGGATTCAGGAAGGGTTCTCTCCATGTCCCTCAGGGGTTTGGCTAACTCTAACAAAATACTTCCCACAGTTCTTACATTCAAATTGGTTCTCGAACTTGTCCATACAATCAGAGGCTGGGTAATCTGTGAAGTGGAATAACCTAGTTTTCCTCATTTGGGTGCTTTCATTGTGGTTCCAGCTGTCATTTTAACCAATAGCCAAAGTTTCACCCCTTTGTGCATATTGCGGCCAATTAGCTGTTGCACAGATTTCAGTTTGTGTATGTCCGTGTGTTTGCCCTTTGGCAACAAGGCATCTGACCTCATCTGACCTCTGGATATATCGAAGAAGCAAAGCACAGTCATTTAAAGACACAACTCTCCTCTTACTCTGCAGGTCCATAGTGGCTGGGGGTCGCATGTTTGTCTTCCTGGTTCGTCAGCCGCTCATTTTGGTCGCAGTGTCCAGAACGTATGAATCCCAACAGCAGCTGCTGATGCAGCTGACCTACGTCTACAACCAGGTACTGAGCGTGCTCACCTACTCCCAGCTGAGCCGAGTCCTGGAGACGAGAAAGAACTACGACCTGCGTAGGCTCTTAGCAGGTAGAAATGTCAGTGATAGTAACGTGGTGTATTTTATGTGTCATGCTTACTGCACTGACGGCCTGTCAACATTCTTTATATTGTATTATTCTGTTCAACTGGGCCCAGGAACATTCCAATGAACCATCTTAACTCCTTGGGGAGTATACAACGATCACTCCTCCCATTCAAGATGCTACCAAATTAATCAACCATAAATAATCCCCACTGCCGTCATGGGCACCCATTTATACCCCTGGGTGGAGAGAGACATGTAAGGGTAAAGTAGCAAGTTGCTCCCTCGCAGGATTCAAAACCCAACCCGTTGATCGTGAGTAAACTACTCTAACCCCCACATGTCCCTGGAAATAAAGTCAGATTTCTATTGGATATTTAATAGACTGATAGTCATGCTACAACTCGGGCTAATTTTACCCTCCTTTTGTACAACAGAGGTATCACGGTATCTGGTGAAATGCCAGTGTTCTTAGTGTTTTGACTTGGTTCCAACTGTTTATGTTTGGAAGTGACTCCAGAGGAAAAAGATGGAACCGCAGCCGTTGATATTGCTATATTTTGGGAAATAGCCTTTGACTTCCATGAGTTGGCCATGCATTATTTCCAAGATTTCCTTCACAGAATCTGTACTGAGTTTTAATTCTGGCACCCATTGTTTTGTGGGTATTTCTCAGGGACAGAGAAATTTCTCGACAACCTGCTCAACCTTATCGATCAGGACCCCAGTTTCTTGCTCACAGCTGTGCGGTGCCTTCCCCTGGACAGTGCCACGAGGGACACCATTGGCCACAGCATACAGAGTGCGAAGATCAAAGTGGGTTGGAGGTTCCATCATGCTTTTCTCTAAATCTAAAATTGTTTTAGTCTTCTTTCCATTCGGGTCTCCCTGCAAACTGTTTTGGAGGGCTGCATTTAGCTAGGGAGATTTCCTGGCTTCTGCGGCTTGCAGAGTTTCAGACAGACACTATGAATATCTGACAACTGAAGTACAGTGCAGTAATAGTGGATGCTCATTGTAAGTGCATTGTATTTCTTTTGTTAGATGGATGGCAAATATCTTAGAGGAGCAGCATTAGTTTCTGGCCCCTACTTCTAGGTTTGAAAAAAAGCCCTCTTACTTTTTCAGTCTTCCTGTATTCTGATGAGTCAAAGATTTCTAAGAAGTGATTTCTTTTCGGCTTTGACCGCAGGAGATATTTCAGTCCCTCTGACTTGTGGGACTTGAGTCCAGTAGAGACTAATAGACTATAGACGAATCCCATTTGAAGCCATAACTGCGGTGGCGTCGCACTCACACGCACATTTTTCAGCTTGACGCGAGCATGCATTTGGCAAATCACGACGTCCTATTGGTCAAAAAGACGTAGAACGCGCGTGTACCACCTGTCCTCGAGTGTTGCGTGACCGCAGTAATGGCTTCTAATTCTGGTTGTTGGATTATGGTATAGACTTCCATATTCCACTTTGAGAACATTTATTTATTATTTAATATTGGGTTGAATTTCATAGTATTTCCAGGCATCTTCTAAAAATCAGCCTTTTTTGTTGTGACCATTTTCAAGAAACTGGGTGAACAGCAGTGTTGTAGGTCTTGAGACGTGGTCTCGGTCTTGAGACCGCCTCGAGACCTTTTTTGTGGTCTTAGTCTCTGATGCTATAGTCTTGGGTCTCCCCCTCGAGACCAGATCTAGCTACCATGCATGCACACGGTTGCAAAAGGCAAAATTACCTCCCTCTTGTCAATTCTCTAACCACTGATATAAATACAACACAGTAATGTTCAAATTTTTGGCAATAAACAATGAAATCGATGCTGGAGTGAAGAGTAGTCAATGCAGCATGATGCAACCTTGTTCCAAGTTGTTACTTTATTGGTTTATGGTTGGTCTCAGTCTCGGATGTCGTGGTCTCAGTTTCAACCTGCAAAAGTCTTAGTCTCGAAGTCCTGGTCTTGGTCTCATATGCCTTGGTCTCGGTCTCGTATGCCTTGGTCTCGGTCTTGGTCTCGGATATCAAGGTCTCGGAGAGGGGAATGGCTTTGCTGCCGAATGCCTTTCTTGAAGACAGACTTAAGGTCTTGTGTTGCTTCACTAGGGTCTTATCGGGACTTGTGATGGTATAAAGAGGTGTTGGTAGTGGGCAAATACGGGTACAATCTTTATGTGGGCACTGCATGAATGGCGGCAACGTTTTCAGCATTGGCTTAGCCCCTCTTGACATCAGTGAAGGAATGCTTGCACATACAGTCCGTGTTGAAGATCATTTGAGTCAGTCAACGGTTTGCCGTCCTTCGTTTCCTTCAATTCCAGGATCTGGTGTTTGCAATTCTGATAGCTGACAACCAGCTGGTGACGTTGTGCCGAATGAAGAAATACATTCTGCATCCTTCTGGTAGGTGGCAGTGTCGTTTTTGCCAATGTTAAAAAACTTTTCGGAATTAGGGAATAACTTTACCCAAATATTTTCATGATGGGCATTGGTCAGAAACTCAAAAGCTTCTGCTTTTGAAAACTGTCTCTGTATCCCCTCAACCAGAAATGAAAAAAAGGTGAGCGTGGTCTACTTGCCCGATGGATTTCCAGCACCACAGAAAAAAGCATTTCAAAATAGTGTGTTTTGTGATTTAAAGAGCGTATTGTAAAGTTAGGTTTTTGGCAGCGGTTTGTGCACTTACTGTTTAACTGCCTGTTTTTGGTTGGAGATCCACTCAAGGCCTTTTTCTAGACTTTCTGAAAGATTCTTGCTTCAGTCGGCAAAATGTTGAGCTGTATCCCAGCACATTAACGAAATGCCAAATAGCAATAAAAATGGGTAAATTGTATACGCAGCAACCAATGAAATGATGGCATCTTGGAAGTCACTACTTATCTGTGAGATCAGTGCACTAATTGACTTCTAGTGCATTCGTTGTGCTGCTCCAACCTCTATCTCATCGGTTACAGATCTCCACCTTGTCTTCAACCTCCTGAATGCCTCAACCTCCTTCCAAGCGGCCGACTCCTGGATCCCCATCTGCCTGCCCAAGTTTGACAGTGACGGGTTCCTGCATGCTCACATCTCCTACCTTGACAACAGCAAGGCCTGCCTCCTTCTCCTCACAGTCGACAAGATGATGTTCTTTGAGTTGGCAAAGTGCAAAGACAAGATTGTCGATGTGAGTACCGATATCCATCGGTGAAACTTGCCTGTCCCCAACATGTGTATACACACCATCGCAAGTCCCTCCAAGTCCATCACAAGTCATCCAGTCTGAAGCTAACTCACAAGCTATTCAGAAAACCTTTCTGTATCAGTATCATTGAGTTAGCAACATGTCGTCTTCTGACACATCCCGCTAACTTTCAGAGCACGCTACATGGGAAGTGGCTTTAACAAAACAATTCCTTTGCCCTGTTACTTACAACTTGTGAAAGAACTTGCAACTGGACTTATGAAGGGACTTGTAAAAGAACTCAGCAACACTGTAAATGCAAGATCAATTCTAGCCTCAATTGCTTTGGTGTAGTAGAAAACAAACGGACAGATTTATTCCCTTGATGGTCTTCTAGACGCTGACCAGAACCAATTAAGGACACATCACATGATTATAACCAGTTTTTAACTCAATTAACACAGACTGGCACAATTTTGCAAGCCAGTAAAGGACCTGATCATACATGTAGGTACATGGTGATGGTCAAAGTTCAGTGCACCATAGTGATGTTTCCATTTTTTACCACCAGTGGTAATGATTTCATGTAGACACAACCCATAGTTAAAAAGCAACTCAAAGGAAAACATGTTTTCTCTGATTGTATCTGTTCAAATGAATATGGAAGCATCCAAACCGAACGCAGTGTCATTTGTCTTCAGAGCTCAACTATAACAAGCTTGTGCATGTAGCCATGGTTTGTAGCCATTGTTTGGCATGCACAAGGGTTTATCCACTACTGAAACACAGGCCGAGGGTTGCCCTCATTTTCTCTGTTTTCTCAGAATGATGCAATCTACATTCAGCATGTTCAGAATTCCCATGAACAGAAAAAAGCCCTTTTTAGCTTGTTATAGTTGAGCTCTGAAGACAAATGACGCTGCGTTGGATTTCGATGCTTCCATATTCATTTGAACAGATGAAATCAGAGAAAACATGTTTTCCTTTGAGTTGCTCTTTAAGAACAATCATTTCTTGTCACTAGCTCATATGTTTTGGTTGTCTTCTAATGATAGCTTTTAAACCACACCTCCGCTAAAAAGTCTCAAAACTCAATCTCTGAAAAGCTCGCATGTACAGGCCAACTTGAACTGATTATGGATAATTTTGGGACAAGCGGAGCTCTGGCATTTCTACTGATGCTACTAAGTTTAGTTTACACATGTACATTCAAGTAAAAGCAAAAGGGATGTTAAGTTCATCATGCCGACAAAGATTTTGTTCTGATAGTTGCCGTGACGTTTGAGCCAAGTGTGAAATAGGCTTTTTGTTCGAGAATCAATTTAAAATTGCTTTTCTACAAATAGAAGCTCAAAAAGCACAATTGCTTAGAGGCCATTAACAAAGCGGTAGCCGGCGGCGGGTACCGGTGCCAGGAGGTGGGCATCAGTGACCTGAGGCACTTCATCTACAAGTCCAAGAGCACAGCGCAGTTCACAGCACCTGAGCTGGAAGCGCCGTACCGTGATCCGGAGGAGAGGGCGAGGTATATTGGCCGGGCTGGGGTCAGGGGTCACAAGTCAGGGCGGTTAGGTCAGCAACAATGCGGCTGAGTACAATACTTCTTTCGGTTTGAGTGGAGAAGTTCGATGATATGAAAATGAAGGAGCTTTACAAAACACAGAATTTTTGGAGTGACTTAATCATCTGCACTCTGGGTTTTTTCCAAATGTCAGTCGTTTTTCATTCTTTTGCTTCATCTTAATCCCTATAATCATGTTAAACCATTTGTTGTTGAACCAAATGAAAAAAGTTTCCGATTTTGACCTCACTGTAGGAAGTTTGATGCATCTGTGGCCAAATATGGAATTGAACCGTGCTGTCTCAACACGGGAGGAATTCAATAAAACTTAATTCTTATTCCAAGTCAAGAAGAAACCCCCCAAAAAAGGATTCTACCTCGTCTTGATGTGGATAAATGACAGTTCCGTTTTTTCATCTTAAATTTCACTTGCAGGTTGTTCACTATATATCAGTATGTACATCAGAGAGTGCATAATGCCGCTAGACCTCTCAAGATTATGTTCCACGTCGGTTCAAGGGAGGCAATGCTTGGATGGGTAAGTCTTTATTATTCAGCATTTCTGGTAGTGAAACCAAGGGTTCCTGTTGCTCATAAGCCTTCAGAAACTTGTAGAGAGGAGACGGCGAGAAGTAATTAGAATTTTAGAGGTGAGAGGAGAAGCCCAGAGTGGTATTTGGAATCAGGGAGGAATCAGATTGGGCCAGGAATCAAACCCAGGCCACAGAGGTGAAAGGTGAGGAAATAACCACACTACCAACCTGGCTCCCATGAGTATTTCGCTCATGGATGTCGTTGAGATCCATCTGAAACAACCAGGCCAAAGTAAACTCCTCTCCTGCGGTAAGTCTATAGCACTGTCCAAACGCAAGGGCATACGTGTATCTTGGGGAGGCGAACAGGGGTCATGGCGCCCCCAAACCAAAATGGTGCCAAATCTTTTTTTTTAAATAGGGAGAAGCAATTTATTTTGGATCTGTATTATTTTCCTTACTTCCAAAAGTGTGTAAAAAGCCTCACAATGTAGCCCTGCTCTTCAGAAAGGCCATAAAAGACTACATGAAAAATGTTCAAACCTTTTGGCCTCCCCCCCAGGAGTGAGGCCGTCCCAATACTTGGTTCGGGATCTGCCCTTGTTCCAAAGTTGAGGCACCTGTAGAAACCACTGGCTAGTGGCTAACCATTTCTCATTGAAACGTGTATTAATCCTTGTCATAGTCAGTTAAATTGGACAGAGCTTGTAGCCAGTATTATACTAACATAGCTAGTATTTTCACAGATTGTCTTATGTAACTTGTAATACTAGTTTTTGTTGGTCTGTTTAAAGGTAACAACTGGGTTTGAACTGTATGCGGTCTTTGGTCCCCTAGCAACCAAACAGGTAGCCATTTTGGCCGTCAACAAATTGCTGAAGTGGATCAAGGTGCGTGTACATTTTACTGAATGAGACAAGTGAATGCAGCCGGCTTTGGTTCTCATGAGGGGGAGCTATTTTTAAAAGGTTAAAACGTATGAGACATTGGATGGTGGACGATCGTGCTGGCGGGTCAGAGGTCAGGTTCACCACAGAAAATGTTGGAATAAAAATTTGCAGTTTCATTCCCGCAAATTTTGGGGCATTTGGAGGATACATTTTATTCACTCTACAGGCCAATGTCACAGTCAGTTAAGTTGGACAGAGCTTGTAGCCTGTAAATCACACAGCTAGTGTTTTCACAGATTGTCTTATTGAACGCTGCTTCCTGTTTATATTTTAGACTCTTAAGGTTCTTATGGTCTCCCTAACTAACCCCCCCGAGCTAGTCACAATACTGCATGTGTATTAGACACATAAGGGCCTTGCATCTTCCTTACCGACCCTCCATCTACGACTGAATTACATCTGAGATAGAAGGTGGTTGATCTGGCATAATTTTATTGCGCTGTAAAACTACCAGCTTTTCACGACAATAAACCTGATTGTTATCCTTTCACTATATTCTGAAGGTTGGTTTGATGTTGGAAGGCACTGTGCCAAAAGACAGTCTTTCTCATTTTTCACAGATGTTGACCTTTCCTGTTTGAAATGCCAGTCCTTTTTGTTGTTTTTACAGAAAGAAGAGTATCGGCTGTTTATTTTGGATCCGCCTGAGTACTGAAGCTTTCTTGGAAGACATGTTGAGATTTCAGCTGACCACAGCCACAGCTGTTTCTGGATTGTAATTCTGTGATTGATGACCAGCTCGTCTGGCCCATGTAACCTTTGCCAAGTCTGGTGGCGTGTATGCTGTGCAGGATTGTTGGATTCAGCTGTGAATGGTAAACCTTGGTGATCTAGTGGGAGTGTTTTGGATTCAGCAAACTGAACAATTTGCTGTTGTTGAGTTATGTTGGATTCTGCAGGCCTTACCCACTGCTGTGGATTATGTAGGATGCAGGAGGACCCTCATATTGCCGCTATAGAAGATCTGATTCAAAGGGCATTGTCCTTTGATGCCCTTATATTCCACTGGACTCAGCAGGCCTGGCACGTCGACATTGCATAGTTCTGTTGGATGGAGCAAGTTTCACCGTACGTACAACAAACACACCAGCATGTGTGCACACGATTGGACGTCTGAAATGGACAGCGTCATTCTTTTTACTTCTTTTTGTTTTAATAACAATGAAGGCATGACATTGTGATGGAGATTTGGGGAGGAAATTATGTTTAAAGGATACTCCAAGGTTGTCATTCACTCAGTCACAAGGCAGATGAAAAGTCAGTTTGGACGTTACATGAGACGATTGAGACGATTGGGTTTGCATACGACAACTGTACGACAACTGTGTTGGGAAATTAACTGAAAAGACATTTGATCAATTTGCTGCACTTTGTTTTGCTAAGTACTGCACAGTATAATGATTTTTTTTTTCTATAAATACTAACAAACTGGGTACTTTGGAACTACGTGTCGAGGTAAAGATCTGAAGAAGGGAAAAATGCATCTCTTCCTTCGGATGGAATAAACATTGACAATTTATGTGAAGGCAGACTTTGGTCTCGCTCAATTCAGAGGAATCGACGCCTCTGGACTGTGATCGTGGAAAAGCCTAAAAAATCACATGCAAGATGAGGGCTTTAAGCTTGACATTGACATGAAATAAGCTGGAAACGGAGATACTTGTTTGGTAAAAAAGAGAAATTGTTGATAGAAAAGAGCTATCAGTAAGATATTAAGTGCAAAATGTTTCTTTGGAGTGCGGGATGGAATATACCACGTCCATAAGATGTCTGTTTCCAAATGCCGGAGGTAGATAAAATTTCACAAGATGTAAATTTAAAGCTTGTACCACGGAAAGGCCAAATAAAATATTAAAAATTGGGGACTGGAGACCCAACGTGCACTTCAACCAAACTTTTGAATAGCCTCACACACCTATTATACAGTCTTTGTTAACCCTTACCACCTAGGCCCTTTTGGCTAGGGTACACCTTCAAATCCTCCAAATGCCCCCATGAAAAAAATGGGTACAGCCTCAATCCTCCAAAATCCTCCGATATTTCTTGAATATGTTCTGTGGAGGGGTGCCCACTGCCTTCAAAATCCTCTTCCAATTCCTCTCACTATGTTGAGGCAGTTTGAATTGTATCCCGGAGCAGTGTGGAGGATCTCACGTATAATGTGAGTGTGAATTTAGGCACGGCTGAACATAAACACCACAAGGTCTAACCCACAACCTTGAGACAATGCATCCTTCGCAGTCAGCAATGCAATTTTGCCATGCAGCCTCAATCCTTCAAAATCCTCCAAAACCACCCAGAGGATTTGGAAGGATTGAGGGATGGTTAGGGTTAATATGGAATACATCATAAGTTCAAATTTGCTTGAAAAGCAACTCGTTACGATCTTAGTGACTTAACTGCATGTATCAACAAAATGAAATATAACATTGGCAGCCCCCAAATCATGTAAATCAAATTATTGCTCCCCCCCCAAAAAAAATGGTAAAATGATACGTATCCATACAAAACCAAAGAAATCAGGACAACTTGGTTGCAGTCAAATAACCCACACAGTATTTCTCCATTTTGTCCTTACTGTGAATGTATGGCAAAAAATATTCTAACTGATAAATATAGTTTTCCCTTATTATTTAGAAAATTGACACTCCAAAAGCCGACAATAAAATAGAACAAGGGCACACTAAAGTATCTTTTCTACTTTAATTTCTGATTCTTTCAATATATGGCATCTTATGTTACAAATCCACTTCACATAAAGACATGTACATGTGCACAAAATTGCTTATAAAAGATGAGTTGGATTAGAGACACTGACACAGCTGTCAAGTCAGCTGACCTTGTGGACACATATGAATGATCTTCCACTCTTAGAACCCATGAAAGTGATTTCTGTATAGAAGGTGGCAAATAGGTTGAGCGATTCCTCATCGACAGGTGTCTCACATCAAAGCTTCAGGAAGCTGATGGAAGCAAAATCTAGACAGTGGGTCAGTTCATTGCTAGACCAGGATGGTGAAATTAAATATATTGATAAAAACTCTTTGTAATGTACATGTACATGCATGGACTTCCTACAGCAGTGCTATTGAGACCAGTCACGTGACCAGTCACAGGACAAGTCACAAGACCAATCCAAGACCAATTAAAAACAACAAGACCAACCCCAAGTATCACAGGGTGAACAACAACAAAGCAACGCTTCTATTGCAGTTCATTTGAACAGCACGTGACTTGAGTTGAGATTTGAAGTCTTGTGATGGTCTTGTAGGGTCTTGATTACAACACAACGGCACACAGGAAAAATAGCCAGCAGTCACGGGAGTGGGTTAACAGTGCAACTTCAAGTACAGGAACATGTAAGCATGATCCTCTGTAACAAAGATGCTGATTTTTGATGAGATACTAGTACATGTATGCTTGAACACCTCAGAACTTAATGGTTTATCAGTTTGCCGCTGATGGGCTATCTGCCCTGCCCCTCCCAAAACTTGACCTGGTGACGCCCACAATTATGGTTGTTGATTTTACCACGATTGTAAACAATAGTCGAGCAATGCACTATCCTCCATATATATTTACAGTTCCTCTGAGAATGAATTTGTATCTGACAATTCCTGAACATTTTATACAAATGAAAACAATCTACATGTACATTACACACTAATGAGCTAAACCCTGCCCTCAAAAATAGCATGCAACCTTGACTATACATTCATTTTCTGTAGTAATACAGGTATTCATCATGGAAAGTTACTGATGCAATAAGGGCCAAATGTCATGGCTATTACAGAAGAATTTCTACTTACTATGGCAAAATACATTATCAGATGTCTTCCTTTGCCCACACTGTTAAACTCAATTGAACAAGCTTCCAAAGTCTCATAGAGGCTTAAAATCCTTCAAAGTTTAAGCAAATGTTACCTAATTTGTCTCCAATGTCAAAATCAGTAAGCTGTGCACTCCATCCACAAGCAGTGTATCCAATTATGTGCCTTTGCCTTCAACCATGACAGGTTGGTGCTTAACTTGGAAGCAATGGTCCGTGCTACTGGTTAGCGTACTTCACAGGTTAGCCTGGAATTCTGGTTGATGCCTATGGGTGCATTTTCCGTGGAACTGTACTGCTTAGCAAGGAGAATATTTCTCGGCCAAAATGGGTAGCCGGCTTACAAATTGTGGCATGTGTACTACTAATACCTGTGACTGGAGCCCTGGTAATTACTGCTTTGCACATAAAGCAAGATTTTCCACTAAGCAGCTCTGTGCATAGTGGTGCATCTCATTATTTGGGACTCTGTGCTAGCAGAGTGCCACACTATGTTCTTTGCTTTGGCTCTATGCACAGAATGGTTCTCAAAATCATAGAATTCTGTGCTTAAGAAAATTTGGCCCTGACCTGTCCTTTTGGGTGGTAACAAAGCATTCTAGATTGGAATGCGTCCTTATCCTGTTATGTCCCTGAATAAATAGGCTGTTCTCAAGTAGGACGGGAAGTGAATTATTTCCAGTGGAAAACGCTGCATTCCAAGGGGGACATTTTTAATGTGCTTTTTTAAGCACTCCCAATTGACACTTGGCATACATGTATATCCTTTCAGTGTGAAACAAAGTTCTTCCTGGGCTGGGACCCTAGAATTTGAGACCAATCAAATTACACCATTAATTGTGGTACTACAAATAATCTGTCAAATCAGCCGAAAATGCATGCACAAAGTTGGGGCAAATTTGCAAAAAGTTGCAAAAAAGCTGCTGCAAGTATTTCCGGATATACATGTAAAATTCACTTTGATTTGCATAAAGCATAAATTTGTCAGCATTCACCTTCCATTTAAAAAAGTCGGCGCACAGAGCTATGCGTATTTTAAGTTACATTTATAAATGTATGTATGTAAAATAGTTTAACCATTCCAATTGGTTGAAGACCCGCTACATGGCTGGTCTTAAAGGGCTAGCATTGGATGGCTGTCTGCCATCTTAAGCTTAATGTGCCATGTGTGCAGCAATCTTCATACATGTATTTTGTGACTTCTTACAAGAGGAAAATACCATAACATGGCTAAAGATGGGTTTGAAAAAAACATAAAATAAACCGTTGAGAGAAATTATTGGCAGATCCCAAATTTTAAAACATGTTCTGACTTTGTGACTATTTATTTTCATGAACTGTTACACGCATAAATGTGTACTTGGACACTGACGGTGTCCCTTGCCTTCAACTTAGGTGTCATATCCTGAGCTGGTCTTTGATTATGCTTGCAAGCCATGCACATATTTATATGAATGATGGGGTGCATTTCTGTCACTTTAACATGCAAAACATCAAGTTCAAAACTTTTGTAAACAGCATTGGTTTTGACATTTGAGCTGCTCATATTGCATATACATCCTTGTAACTTGTTTCGTGACCACAATCTACAAAATGCTTGCAGTTGTTAATGGATATGCTAACATAATGGAAATAAATAAAACAAATTCCCTTGACCATAAAACATGCCATTATGTTTTTTTGCCATGCATTTTGAATAAGTGCAGTATGCTATTAATGTTTTTAAGATGCAACTGTTCCACAACAGTCATATAATATTTCCATGTATACAAGAAGGCCTTTGCCTGTGTACACAATTTATCTTACAAAACCCACCTGGTTTAGTATTAATCTCTACATGAAAGAATTCGTGATGTGACCAAAAGTTGTTTACTTGCCACTGTGAGTTGTTCATTTTCCCAGCTGGGCAGCTGTTTCATTCCTTATCCTAGAAGCCAGCTCACGTTCAAAATTTGTGTGTTCAAAGTTGCCTGAATTGAAAAACAGGGCATCCAAGTTGTTGAAATTTTACGCCTAAACAAGAAGGAGGTTTAGATATAATTCCTGAACGAAGCATTAACCTGGAAACATATTGGATCCCTCCCATAATGCACTTAGCTCCGAATGAAATGTTCTGAGTTTTAAAATGCTCCAAATGCTTCCTCATTACTTTTCCAAAATAATGAGAAATACTCTTGTAAAGATACCTACATTGTACAGTATAAATATGCCCACATGGATATAATGTTACGTCAGGCCAGTATGGTACCTTGACTTCTCTTGAGGGCTAATGCTCAGTTTTGGTTTTGGAGGTGGAAGGCTGGCTCGTCTGGGCCACTGGTGATGGGCTCTCCATCTGGCTGGAGCTGGGAGTGCTCGTTGCAGCTGTGACGGGCAGGCTGGTCACTACCTTCACCTGCAGGCTGGCCTTCTCAGCAAACTTTAGCAAGGACTGGTACTTGGACTGGACCTCCTCCAGCTTTTGCCGCTGGAGCTGGTTCTGGTGGCTCAGCGCTCGCACCTCGTCGTGCAGCCGCGTCTGCTCCTCCTCTAGCGTCTCCTTCTGTGTCACACGCTTCTCCCGGCAGTTGGCCGCGTAGCCCCGGTTCTTTAGGGTCCGTCGCCGCTGCTTCAGCAGGACCACCTGCTCCTTGCTCAGACCGCGCAGCCGCCGGTTCAGCTCCCGAACCGAAAATGTCACCAGGTCGTAATCATTGATGATGGCGTCTTGGGGATCCACAGGCTCCTGCTTCACCTAGACAGCAGAAAAGAACAAAAAAACAATAGAATGAAACTCACAGTGCAACCTCAAATGTTAGGTTACCTTTTGCCAAAATGATTAGAACTTCGAAAAGAGATTTCTCTGCAAACCACTGACTTGTTACTCAAAGGGCCTGTTTGTTTCACACACATATGGATCTCGATCGGTGATCCCAAAGCTGGTTCGCTCTATCCATTAGGCTGGCTGGTGTCAGTGAACCAGCGTCAGATCACTGATTGCGATCCCGAATCAACAGGCCTATATATGGCCAAATGGAAAATGGTACTTTGGTAACTGACAATATATCCTGGTGAAATAAAATTGGTTGTAAAGATAATAACCCTGTCTCTCTGACTGACTGACTGACCTACTGTAGGAATACCTGAATTAGAATGGAAACCTTTTAGTATTATACACACTTCTCTTAACCCTGGTCAGAATGCTAAATTTATCAAGATGCCTGAATAAATGCATTGGAACTCACAGAGTCATCATCAACGAGGATGGTTAAAAGCATTCATCTAATTTTTGAAAGGATAAGGGGAAAAAATATGAAAAAAGCAATGTTATTGATTACTGGACTCCATTTTACCTTGATAACATTGGTAGGTCCTGCCTTCCTCACCATGATGACCTCTGCCCTTAATTTTCACCACACCACAGCAGAGAAGTGTGTTTGTCTGCCCTTCCTGCTCTAGAAGTAGAGACCTATAGAGTAAATAATTCAAAAATTTGATACATAGAGTTGAGAACCAGCAGGTCTGAAAATTTATGTAAAGAATCTTGGGACTTGACTAAAGAGGGAAATTATGGAATACAGCATGAAGAGTGGATTGCCCTAATGCAGTTCAATGTGATGTTTTCCCCAAATTTCCTCATGCAGCATTGCCGAACCTCTGTCTCATAACAAATTAAAAATGCTGTTGAAACTTTGAGAACAATTACGGTGTCATGAACTTTAGTTTGAAATTAAAAATGGCGGCATCCGGAAATTGGGCACAAATTCAGCTGCCTGTTCTGTAATGTCATGCACTTGGACAAATCTTAGAAAATCCTTATTTCTTTGAACATGCCAATGCTGTCAAATTCTGATTAATCATTACTATGAGATTTGAAGCTTTTCATGGTAAGGGTGGCAATAATATCCTCTTGTAATTATGTTTGTTTCTGAAAATAAACCTCCACTCATACACATGTACCCAACTACAAGTTTCTAAGAAAATTGCACTCTTATTTTTGGGCATATTATGATTGTTATAAAAGAGTGCATTGTGCACTTTCCAAAAAAAATTATCATTGCAACTTTGAAGTGGGTAAGTAAATTCAAGATTCATGAGTGGGAATGCTGAGGGCAACAACATTTCACTTACTGTAACATCTTAGGTAAAACTAAAGTATTGGTTAGTGCTTGTGCAAATCTACTGGAAGCAAAATATCAGTTTGCCATGTTTGGGCTGCACCGCATTAGGGTAGGCCCACTTCAACAATATTAAAGCAGTGATTCCCTGATTGCTGATCACTGTCAACTGTCAAAACAAACAGGGCAAAACAAAACACAAAATCATGATAAGCTTTTGCTTCTGCCGTTGATATGTCTGCCAGGTATCCTTCATGCACCACCCACCCTGTGTATTTATCATATTTGCTAGTGCACAATTGTTGTGATGAATGGAAACATATAAAAGCATCAATGTCCATGAGCTGTGATATTCATTATGGGAAAGAGTTCCATATTATATGCGGACACTGCTTGACACCCCGGGCATAAACCCTTTGAGACTGGTCTGAAAAAACATGTCTAAGCGTTTTCTAACTGTCTAAAGTAAATGACTTGGTATTTTCCCTCTTAAAATTGAACTTTTCTGGAAAAGTTTTTGCTTTCTAGGTTACTGTCATGACCAGTTGACTGTAGGGAATAATTACTGGCGTCCGTATACTTTGTATATGGAACTCTTTCCAGCGCGAGTTATGGTATATTGTCACTGCCTACTTCCCCCAGAACGTCAGTGTTCGTGGACCACTGGGAGCGCGGCGGCCGTCGAACATGTCGAACGCAACAGCTTGCCTACCTTTTGTTGCGCCGCTTTTCGCGAAAAAATAACCGTGCGGTGTGTTGGAACTTCACTACCCATACACCAACGGAACGTCAAACTCTTTCAGTGACTCAACTCCAAAGTGTGTATAGGCCTATGAGCTCTTGGGCGTAAAACAATTTTAAAAAATAACACTTTGATCAAAATTAGTTTTGGCGTACGGTACACCAACACGTATAATATACATGTAAATGGACGTGTATATATACTTATCATGGTATTTTAATACAATTTCGATCTCAAGGTATGGACCCACCACTTACGCATAACTATGTTGCTGTAATGGCCTCGGGGTACAAGGGTGACTCATTCGCTTCTGCAACTTCTGGTACCTGTCTAATTCGTTATGAAATGGAAAACTAGATGGGTGGACTAGAGGTACCAGGTGACTCTGTGGGAAATTTCATTACAGCACAAGTATGCACCACGCGCTATATAGCCGCCGTCTAGTCGTCTAGTCTGCTGGTGCTGTGCCAGACATGCAGAGCCTGCCCACTACGCGGTGGAACTTTCTGTTGTTTGGAAAGGTTGTTCTTCCCTTTAAATGACAAAGCATTTTTGTGTTTATTATCCAGACAGCTTGAGTCACCGTCAGAAAAACTGCAGTGTCAGCAAATTTGATCATTTCCGGATTGTCTTGTCGAGCTGTTGACAGTGTTGGTGCATCTTTTCCTTCCTCCGGCGCGGCATGTCCGGTGTCATGGGTGTTACCCCGGCTGTGCATGCCCCGACACTGCCCGTGCCACCAACATGACCGACACTATTCACTAGCAATTCTATATTACACGCCCTGCTGTAGCTGGGTTTGTCCAACTATCAAGACTATAGTCAGCAACTTTCTTCTAAAAATGTCCCAACCATGCCAGCCTCCAAGATTTGCTGCTCACAACCAACAGAATTTATCCGGAATGTCACATTTCGCTCAGTCATTACACATACCTGACATCGAAATGTAATATAGTACTGGCATGAGTTAGGCCTACCAGCAGAAATGAAATTATCCTGGCACATGCTATGGCACTGCACTCTTTGCTAGTAGCTGGGCAGACCCAACTGTAATGTTATTGATTTAGCAGTGTTCAGTGCAATCTTGAATCTACTCCCTCCTGAGTTGACTATCCTATCATGTCTATGAATGGATGTCATTCAAATGCAAATCAACTCTGAAGAGAGTACAAACAATTTATGCAAGATCAAGAGTCAAGATTGCACTGAACAGCATGGGACTAGCCCATTCCAACTATAGTTGGGACAGACTCTACAGTTGGGCGTAGTAGGCACTTGTAGTAGTACCAGTGCAGTGACAGTGTCTTTTTTAACTCTCATTCTCACATCAAGCACTGACTTGTTGAAGTGACTGAACACTCTTTTCAAAGCTCAATTAAAAACGAACACGAACGAAGTGTATGTTTTGCCTGCTTGTATCTGTTTTTCAAATGTCACCTTGGAACCAGTAGTATGGTGGAATTGTTGGGCACAATCAGTCGATGTGAGTGAACTCAAATAAATTGCAGGATACTTTCACTTTCTTTTTTTTGTGATTCATGGCTCTCATTTAATAAAGGGGATAAAGTGAAAATTGTAGTGCGTCTCTCGTCGAGGATCAACATGGACGCAGATGCAGATTTTCAGAATGAATTTTTATGGTTATGGCCTATTGTAAATTTATAAGTTCTAAAAATGGACTAGTTTATGATCCAATGTGCACTGCTATGTGTACATCAAAACAATATCGGGCCAATTTCACTCCTTCACTGACTAGGTGCTCCTAAGTTTTCACGAGATAAAGATAGGAATTTGACATTTCACCTGCCAAGTGTGAGATCGCATGCGGTAATTTGAAAAAAATGTTGCAGGGCCTAAGAGAAACTCGGAAAGAACTCTTACACAGATTCAGCTTGACACCCTGTGTACAAGCACGGAGGACGAAAAGCGGCCATCTGCTTTTCTTCTATCAGAAAAGTAGAAAGGCAGATTTTACGTCTTTGTAACATGCAATTTTTGACGTTTTTACTTTTCTGCTACCTCAAAAGCAGAATGAACATTTTAGTGTAATGCATTTTTCCACTTTTTTGCTCCCACAATAGTAGTTTTACCTCTCCTCTTTTTGATGGCGGCCGAAAAGTGGCCATCTGCTTTTTACCTGTCAAACAAGCAGGAAAGTGGATTGAACGTTTTGATGACAACCGTGAATTCAACTTTTCTGCTTTTGTGATACCGGAGAAGCAGATTTTACATAGGTGGCCCAAAGTGGCCCTCTGCTTTTCAGTCCTCAATGGACAGTGAATGGGGTCATAAACCTGTAGGTTACGACCGTTTCCGTTCTGGGGGAATGAAGACGTATAGAAACCTATACTTAACCGTGTTTTCTGCGGACCAATCCCATATGGCAGTATCAGTGTCCCTGTGAAACCAGCATCTCAAAGGAAATACACTTTTTTACAGCTATCATCCAATAGACACACAAGCTTGCTCGTTCCAAGGAAAATATTTGAATCTTTCATTATAAAAGATTGGGTGGTTGTAATTATTAATTTGTACGTCTTCAATCCCCAAGAATTTAGGAAATGGTCATAACCTGAGGTTCACAACCCCATCATGACCCTTGGAAGGCAGAAAAGCAGATGGCCACTTTTCAGCTGCCTGTGTAAAATCTGCTTCTCTGGTATCAAAAAAGTAGAATTCGCTGTTGTCAAAACATATGATCCTCATTTCTGCCTGTTCGAAAGGAGAAAAGCAAATGGCTGCTTTTCGGCCGCCAGCTGACGAAGAAAAAGTAAAATCTGGTTTTTTTGAAGCAGAAAAATGCATAACCTAACAATGTTGGTTCTGCTTTTTTGAGGTGGCAGAAAAGTAGAAAGGTCGAAATTGCATGTTACCAGAACATCAAATCTGCTGTTCTACCATTCTGATTGCAGAAAAGCAGATGGCCACTTTTTGTCCTCCATAGGAAAAGAATGAAAATACTGATGGCTAAACTCAAGAGCTGAGCCTCTACATATTTCATGGGCATCATAAATAAATTGCACTGGCTTTTTTGGGTAAGAAAATCTGAAGTTTTTACTGGTTCTAAGCAATGTGTTTACAAATCTTTAACCCAAGGCTTACATGTTCTTTGTTTTTGCTGCAGGGTAAATGAGCAAGACAACATCACAATGTCATTCTTCAGAGAATTCAATCAGATGGTGAGCAATGTGCTGAGTAACATTCCCAGCACTGACGCCTACGCCCGCACCGTCCGCCAAGTAGATCACCCGGCCCAGAAGTACATGGATTGGCCGGTCATCACTACCTTAGACAGTATGCAGTTGCTGCACGACGTTAGAGGAAGGAAATATGAGTGTCTCCTGCACTTGCAGGGTGCCAGAGTGAAATCGTTCAGGTAGGAGTTTAGTGAACCTGATGGATGATCTTACAGTTTTTGTAGAATTTATTACAGACAGACTTGTTAACAGAACACAAGTAGAATGAGATTACTGATGAAAAGAGTGGAGGAGTTACTGCTGAGTGGTTTGGGTTTGGGACTCGACTTCAGAGGATCAGGGGTTGGAGTCCAGCTGTCGGCTGTGGATTGTAGCCTTGGGCAGGCAGTTCCATCCCCAACTTGCTTCAGTCCACCCCGGAGTAGAAATGGATGCTGGCAGCGACCTGCGATGGACTTGCATCCTGACCAAGGGGAATAGACATATTCTTAGTCACTTCACATTGCTAAAAACGAGAGACAAGTTCCGGCTGGATGAGTCATATAGGATCTTGCCAGACTTTACCCTACAAATAAAGCATTTTACATGTATTTCAAATTGTGGAATAAACAACGGCAGAATATGTCATATTTCTGGATGAATCAGGAGGCTGCACTGTAAATTCAAGGTAAATTGTTTTTAATCTATGTTAATGTAGTGCCGGTACTCTTAGTAAAAATCTAAGTGTTTGCTTCAGTGAAGTAGATATTTCTGCTATCTTTATACATTCTTCAGCATGTTCAGACTCAGCGAAGGGGACCAGACCATCGCTGAGTTCAGCAAGCTTCACCAGACACTGTATCCCTTCTGGAGGGGCAGCGCCGACTGGCTCAATGCAGAGATCTTGCAAAAGATCACCAACAGTGCCCGCTCCAATCCCACTTGGTCCTATGCGCACCACGCCGTGGCAGCCAAGTTTGAGAAGTGCCTATCCACACCGGAAATCAGAGAGTAAGATTTGTGAGCATGATACAGTTTTATGCAACAATGTCATGATTCAGTGATGCACATTTATGCACTTACAACTAGAGCCCGGGACTGTCAATCTGGAGAGCTTGTTAACCTTGGCCGAAATTTCAGTTTTCTTACCGTTGTTAGCAAGTTACACCCATGAACCAGGATACGTTGGCCCAGTTTTCCTGCTGAAGTTGGCACAAATTTGGGGTGCACATGTAAAGCCAATGTAGTGAAGGGGGTTAAGTAGGCCTAAGCTGGGCAGGTACAGTGGACATTAAACGACAAAAGTTATCATTTCCGTGCAAGTTTCCACGAACTGTTGGAGTCTATTTATAGCCTGTTTATCTTATCCCTGGAATTTTGGCTTCTTTAGACAGTATGTCACATGGTTTAAAGATGCAGGTTTTTGGTTTATTTAATATGCTTGTGGAGTATTGTAGTCCAGTGGCTGTGATGTTTAACTCTCTGTGAGGGTTTGTGGGTTTGATCCCGACAAGTTCCATGATGCTTCTGTTCCTTTGCTTCATTCCACTCCTGATTATAATGGATACCTGATCAAGCTGTGCTGGTCTCTAGCTGCGGCAGGAAACTGATCCCATGGCCCAGTGAGCTGGGATAAATGTGAAGCACTCTGAGACTACATCACAGTTTTGCTCATGAATATGCAAACTCACATAAGCGCAAAAGCAAAAAGGGTTTTAAACATACATGTACATGTTGACAGAAATAGCAAACCAAAATTGAATGTAAGGTTAATTGAAACAATTGAAACGTAAAGTTGTAATCTCAAAGATTTTAGTAAAATAGTTCTATTTCTGTGTCTTTTATAGAAAATATTGTAACGTGCTCGACGCGGCCTAAGGTTTCACTGGATTAGGTACGGTGAAGATTGTAGACAGACAGGACAGGACAGAGATGGCACATAAAACTGAAGAAATAATTACCAACACACAATTCTACGGGTTTGAATGATTTATTGCGTCTCTGTTTCTTGGGAACTTACAACTTTCTCAGCCAATTTGGGGGCGGCGTTGTAGGTTGGACACAGACGTGAGAGCAGTCTTGCTTCGTCGAGAGCCAGCCAGAGAGTGTTTTACACAGCTTATTTCGCGCCGCACCACGACCAGTTCGCGCGCCAGTTGCATGGCAACCCACGGTAAACAAGGGGTGATCACGCGCGCAGCGCATGTTCCAGCCGTGCTCGCTACAATATTTATATTTCCCTTCAGCATTAGTTACTTCTTGAGGTTTGGTACAAGGTTTGCTTCCGGTGATCTTACAAAGAAGTGGACAAAGTATAAAAACTTGAATATAATCTGTCTTTAAAATTACAAGCATCAGAACCACACATGTAGTATCAAATGTTAGAGAAGAAGAAACGTCTCATTTGAGTGGTGTGCCAATTAGATGGAATTCAGTTAAGTGTGTTGTAGGGGCCAGAAAACCTGTTTTGTGTTAAAATCATGGACATTTGGTATCCATTTTTTGCATCTTGTTTTAATATGGTAAATATGATTATTATTGTAACTGTTTGTCATATAGTCAGAGAAAGGTCCTTTTTTTTTTGGCAAAAGGTTCTTATGGTGGATTCAGCTGTCTGGAAAAAATTGATTTCTGATAACAAAGTTTTCTTGTAAATGTGTGTTTGACTTCAGGCACATCAACAGTCAGGCCTGCGATGGGAAGAGAACACCTGCCCATCTTGCTGTAAAGTGGAACAACCCAAGTATGCTGAAAGCTCTAATCCTCAGTGGGGCAGAGTTGAACATCCCAGATGCTGAGGGCGAGAATGTATTCCACTATGCTGCCAGATTGCTGGGGGACGTCGCACCAATTCTGCAGGTTTGTTTTAATCATGTCCATGCAGCGCTGTCCATACTTCACCGTAGTCTGAAATAAGCCTTTTGCGAGTTAAATTTGAATAAACCCGGTGGACTGAGTTTAATATCAGACTGCACGTAAACATAACAATTTGAATTTTCCAGACTACTGGCACCGTTGCTATACCACATGATTTTGGGCAAACTTTTGCATAGCAACCATTCTCTCTGCAATATACTGGTTCCTTTGTGCTATTCTTATCTATTGAAAATAGTGTATTTGTGCAAAGCGTCTCCTATGTAACCAGTGTTGTATTTTGTGTCCGTCACAAGTCCCTGTAAGTCCCTGTAAATCCGTCAAGTCATTCAGTTTTAAGCCAATTCACAAGTTATTCAAATGAACTGCAATAAAAGCATTCTTTTGTCATTGTTCATGATGCGCAAACTTGCCCTGAACCACAAGGTATAGCAACAAGTGTCTTCTCTTTAGTATGAAGAATTCAAATTGTTATGCTCACGTAAATTCAAAGAACGCTTTGTGCCAGATTTATTCAAGTTTAACTCACAAAAGGTTTGTTGAAGACTCATTCCACAGTGGCACTTAGTCCATCATCATTGAGCACTAGGCTTTCTCCTATCATCATTGAGCACTAGGCTTTCTCCCATCA